AGGGGTTAACTCTCTGGTATCTTGGGAAAACAAAGGACCAATCCCTTGTTCCCTTGGAAAGGCAAGGGACCATTCCACTGGCCTCTTGAAAAGATAAATGACTGATCCCCTGCTCCATTGAGAAACCAAGGAACAGATACCTTGGTCCCTTGTCAAGCAAAGGACCAATCTCCTAGTACCTTGGGAATACAAGGGACCAATCCCCTGGTACCTTGGGATGGCAATGGACAGATCCCCTGGTACCTTGAAAATTGAAAGGACCAGTCGCCTAGTCCCTTGGAGCTCCTTTGGTGATACAGAAGCTCCATACCACTAGATGGGCCCCTTAGGAAGGCAAGGGACTAATATCTGGTATCTTGGGAAGACAAAGAACCAACCCCTTGGTGAGGACTGATCCTCTAGTCTCTTGAGAAGGCAAGGGACTGATCCCCTGGTTTCTTGGACAGGCAAGGGACTGATCCCCTGATCCCATGAGGAGTCAAGGGACTGATCCATATGGACTCTTGGAAAGACAAGGGACTGATCTCCTAGTCTCTTGGGAAGGCAAAGGACTGATCCCCTGAACCCGTGGGAAGGCAGGGGACAAATCTCCTGGTCCCATGGGAAGGCAAGGGACCAATACCCATGGTCTCGTGAAAAGGCAAAGGACCAGTCCCCTGGTCCCTTGGGGATCTGTGGTGGTACAGAAGTACCATATCACCAGATTAGCCCCATGTTTTGTACCCATCCCACTATTGCATAGAAACTCCAAAAAACCACTAAGTGGTCAAGCTGCCTTGACAAATCTTACTTCATCATTGGTGTCAGTGGGAGGAATGCTGCCGTTATTGGTGTCAGGGGGAGGAATGCTGCCTTGTTATTGGTGTCAGGGGGAGGAATGCTGCCTTGTTATTGGTGTCAGTTGGAGGAATGGTGCCCCATCATTGGTGTCAGTGAGAGGAATGCTGCCCTGTTATTGGTGTCCAGTTGGAGGAATGCTGCCTTGGTATTGGTGTCAGTTGGAGGAATGGTGCCCTGTTATTGGTGTCAGTTGGAGGAATGCTGCCTTGTTATTGGTGTCAGTTGGAGGAATGGTGCCCTGTTGTTGGTGTCAGTGAGAGGAATGGTGCCCTGTTATTGGAGTCAGGGGGAGGAATGGTGCCCCATCATTGGTGTCAGTTGGAGGAATGCTGCCCTGTTATTGGTGTTAGTGGGAGGAATGGTGCCGTTATTGGTGTCAGTGGGAGGAATGGTGCCCTGTTATTGGTGTCAGTGAGAGAATTGGTGCCCTGTTATTGGTGTCAGTGGGAGGAATGGTGCCCTGTTATTGGTGTCAGTGGGGGAGAAAAGGTGCCGTTATTGGTGTCAGTGGGAGGAATGGTGCCCTGTTATTGGTGTCAGCGGGAGAAAAGGTGCCGTTATTGGTGTCAGTGGGAGGAATGGTGCCCTGTTATTAATGTCAGTGAAAGGAATGGTGCCTCGTCATTGGTGTCAGTGAGAGGAATGGTGCCCCATCATTGGTGTCAGTGAGAGGAATGGTGCCCTGTTATTGGTGTCAATGAGAAGAATGGTGCCCGGTCATTGGTGTCAGTGAGAGGAATGGTGCCCTGTTATTGGTGTCAGTGAGAAGAATGGGGCCCCATCATTGGTGTCAGTGAGAGGAATGGTGTCCTGTTATTGGTGTCAGTGGGAGCCATTGTACCCCAAGGGCCAGTTAAGGACAAACAAAGGGCCCCATCTCACCCCCGGCCCACAGTTTGGAGACCACTGCTCTAAAGGAACCTTAAGAAAATCGTATTCTTTGCCCAGAATGATCAGACTGACGTTAAGATGCGGCAATCGCCACAAGCAGAGGTGGAGAGGGAGATGAGCAGCTTAGACCCTTATTAAAACGCAGGGAACATCTGAGACTTGCTTGGAGCGCCACCTGCTGGTTGAAAATGGTTAACAATGAAACTATTCAAATAATATAATATAATTTCTTATTAATTAAATATGGAATATTTCATTTGAATAAGTAATGGTTAACCACTTTCAGCCAGCAGGTGGCAGTCCAAGCAAGTCTCAGATCAGTCTGGTGACATCACAGGTCCTTTTTAGGAGAAGGTAGGTGGATCCTAAAGGATGTAGATAGCTCCATGCAGTGTTCTCCTATGAGCCCAGGATGGGGGGCGGAGCTATGACACCCTGGGTTGACAGGAAGTAGGGTTGAATGACAACCTGGAAGAGAAATGGCACTAGATTGGTGTGCAAATGAACTTTTCGGGGACAGCTCCAGTGGGAAAGTGAGTATATCAGCCGGGAGATCCGTGCCTTTGGTTTTTGCGCATACTCAAACTAGACTTTAAGTGGTTCCCAAAAAAGGTGGGGGGGGCCTAAAAGCAAGTGGCCCCCAAAGTGTAGGGAGATTAACGCAATGCAACACTGCCTCCCCATATGGAAGAAAAATATATTTGAAATATATTTTAAAAATATTTTTCCCAAATATAATAATAATATATATTTTTAAATACTACAATTTTGGCCGTATTCAATATATTTCAAAATGTATTTCCATAAATTAAAATAAATAAATAAATAAATAAATAAATATTAAAAAAAATAAATAAATAAATATATATATATATATATATATATATATATATATATATATGTGTGTGTGTGTGTGTATATATACCAGGGGCGGGCTGACAACTCATGGGGCCCCCGGGCTATAGGGGATCATGGGGCCCCTGTGTCCTTGCTCACACTCAAAAAAGCCTATAAAAAAGGTACCAGGGGCATTTCATGGGGCCCCCTACTGACCCCGGGCCCTCGGGCAGTGCCCGAGTGCGCGAATGGTCAGTCCGCCCCTGATATATACTGTACGCTGAAATGCATTTTTATTACAAAATATATGAAAAATATTTTTAAAAAGACATTTTCAGCTATACTGTACGTCTTTAAAAATACAACTCTACATTTTTGGAATACTTTTACAAATATATGCAAAAATATATGTTAAAATGACTTTTTTATCTGTTAAAAAAAATCTGAAGAATATATTTTAAAAAATTGATTTTTAAAAATAGATTTTTTAAAAATATATTCTTCAGTTTTATTTTACAGATAAAAAAGTATAAAAAGTATTCCATTTTACAGATATAAAAGTCTTTTTAACATATATTCTTACAAATATTTGTAAATACATTCCAAAAATGAAGATTTGTATTTTCAAAGACATACAGTATATTTGAAAACGTATTTTTAAAAAAATATTTTTCATATATTTTGTAATCAAAACGCATTTCAACATACAGTGTAAATATATTTTGAAATATATTGAATACGGCCAAAATTGTAGTATTTCAAATATATGTCAATATATTTGAGAAGAATATTTTTTAAAATATATTTCAAATATATTTTTCTTCCATGTGGGTCTGGAGATGGATTACACTAATCAGATCATACATTCATGGAAATTTCCTTCAAATACTCCGCCTCCAGCACCTTGAACTTTGCGCGTGAAAACAGCGGATATGAATGTGTTCATTCCGGCAGGCGCGGCGATAAAGACTTTCTAACGGCTGCTGGTAAACACAATGCTATTGTTAGCGGCACCCTCCACCTCCCGGGAATAGAAGGGCCCAAGAAGAGTCAGAGGAGGAAGGAATTTATTAAAGCCGGAACAGGCAAAGTTCACCGCCATCCCCTCATTAATATGGAAGAACACTGGAAGTGGAAATAGAAGGACGTCCCATATGGAAGAAAAATATATTTGAAATATATTTTAAAAATATTCTTCCCAAATATATTGCCATATATTTGAAATACTACAATTTTGGCCACATTCAATATATTTAAAAATATATTTCAATAAATAAAATATATATATATATATATAAATATATATATATATATATATATATATATATATATATATATATACATAATTATTTTTTTTTTGCAAAAACAGTTTATTTAAATTTATGTTTTATAAATATTTTTTCTAGATTTATGTTTTCAAAATATTATAATTTATAAAAAAAATGTTGTGTATATATATATATATATATATATATAAATAAACAATAGGTATTAAAATATTTATAAAACATAAATTTAAATAAAATATTATTTTTGCAATAAATAAATTAATTTTATATATATATATATATATATATATATATATATATATATATATATAATTATTTATTGCAAAAATAATATTTTATTTAAATTTATTTAAATAAAATATTATTTTTGCAATAACTAAATTAATTATATCTATCTATCTATCTATCTATCTATCTATCTATCTATCTATCTATCTATCTATCTATATATATATAATTTATTTATTGCAAAAAATATTTTTTACATTTATGTTTTATAAAATATTTTAATACATATTGTTTATTTTATAAATAAAACAAAAGCCCTTAATTTGGAGGACCTTCTTGCTAGAAAGAAAAAAAAATACTATGTTTTGAAAGGTTACATTTTAATCTACTTTCTATCCGTTAACAGCATAATTTAATACTCTGTAATTTCTTTGGACATTTTTTTTTTTCCTTTTTAGGCTGTCATCTGCTTCATATTTGAGGAAATGCTGCCACCTGCTGGCGAAAAAAGTAGTACTTTACTCCTGCTGGGTCGTTGCATTTGCTCCCTTTTCTGCAGCAAGACTGGGGATGGATGGATTGTTACTGGTTGCCGTTAGTTACTACATTTAGCATTTTTACATTTTTAATTTATTAAAGTCCATGTCCTGTCAATCACTGAGTGCAGAAGGGTGACATCCTCTGTGAGGTTTTAATTGCCATCTGTGCCCCTGCTGGGAAGATCTTCTCACTTCCTGGCCTGGTGACCACCCAGAAAATAAGAACAATCTGAACGTCGGACAGAATGCTCCTCTAAAAATGTTTCTTCCTGTGTCCCCAATGGAAAGATTTTCTATAATTTCCTGTCCCAGTGATTAGGTGGTTAAAATAAAATTTCTCCCTTTGGGTATGGCAGGGTTCGTAAATGCTCTGAAACAGGGGCGGACTGACCATTTGGAAACTTGGGCACTGCCCGAGAGCCTGGGGTCAGTAGGGGGCCCCATGAGATGCCCCTGGTACCTTTTTTGAGTTTGGGCAAGGACACAGGGGCCCCATGATCCCCTATTGCCCGGGGGCCCCATGAGTCCCGCCCCTGCTCCGAAGACAAAACTTTCATGGTGGTTTGGTTTCAGATATCTTGGTACAATCATATTCAATTATGCAGGCCATACACGGGTCGAATCACAAACGATTTTTTGTCTGAAAATTGAAAACGTTGTTCGCTCGGTAATCCCCAATTTTTGGTGCCATCAATGATTTCGAAAATCGCCCAACCAAGTCATAAAGTTCACCCCATATAACAGGCGAAACTTTTGTTCCTTCCAGGTCACGGCTCATGCGCATATTCTTTTCGGAGAAACGATCGTACAATTTGACCATCATTGAGTCGAAAATCGGTATTTTTTCACAAATTTTCAAACATGCCCGATCACCGAAAAGGGGAGGAGCCACAAAAATCGGCCAGTGCCATTGATCCACTAACAGAGCAAAAATCGAATTTCAACCCATGTATGGCCGGCATTAAAGAATCCAATCTAATACAGGAGGGGTGTTACCGGCTTCATCCAGAGTGGGGGCGCTCTAATACAGGAGGGGTGTTACTGGCTTCATCCAGAGTGGGGGCGCTCTAATACAGGAGGGGTGTTACTGGCTTCATCCAGAGTGGGGGCGCTCTTATACAGGAGCGGTGTTACCGGCTTCATCCAGAGTGGGGGCGCTCTAATACAGAAGGAGTGTTACTGGCTTTATCCAGAGTGGGGGCGCTCTAATACAGGAGGTGTGTTACCGGCTTCATCCAGAGTGGGGGCGCTCTAATACAGGAGGTGTTACTGGCTTCATCCAGAGCGGGGGCGCTCTAATACAGGAGGTGTGTTACTGGCTTCATCCAGAGTGGGGGCGCTCTAATAAAGGGGGTGTGTTACTGGCAACATCCATAGTGGGGGCGCTCTAATACAGGAGGTGTGTTACTGGCTTCATCCAGAGTGGGGGCGCTCTAATACAGGAGGCGTGTTACTGGCTTCATCCAGAGTGGGGGCGCTCTAATACAGGAGGGGTGTTACTGGCTTCATCCAGAGTGGGGGCGCTCTAATACAGGAGCGGTGTTACCGGCTTCATCCAGAGTGGGGGCGCTCTAATACAGGAGGAGTGTTACCGGCTTCATCCAGAGTGGGGGCGCTCTAATACAGGAGGGGTGTTACTGGCTTCATCCAGAGTGGGGGCGCTCTAATACAGGAGGTGTTACTGGCTTCATCCAGAGTGGGGGTGCTCTAATACAGGAGGAGTGTTACTGGCTTCATCCAGAGTGGGGGCGCTCTAATACAGGAGGGGTGTTACCGGCTTCATCCAGAGTGGGGGCGCTCTAATACAGGAGGTGTGTTACCGGCTTCATTCAGAGTGGGGCGCTCTAATACAGGAGGTGTGTGTTACCGGCTTCATTCAGAGTGGGGCGCTCTAATACAGGAGGAGTGTTACTGACTTCATCCAGAGTGGGGGCGCTCTAATACAGGAGGTGTGTTACCGGCTTCATTCAGAGTGGGGCGCTCTAATACAGGAGGAGTGTTACTGACTTCATCCAGAGTGGGGGCGCTCTAATACAGGAGGTGTGTTACTGGCTTCATCCAGAGTGGGGGCACTCTAATACAGGAGGGGTGTTACTGGCTTCATCCAGAGTGGGGGCGCTCTAATACAGGAGGGGTGTTACTGGCTTCATCCAGAGTGGGGGCGCTCTAATACAGGAGGTGTGTTACTGGCTTCATCCAGAGTGGGGGCGCTCTAATACAAGAGGTGTGTTACTGGCTTCATCCAGAGTGGGGGCGCTCTAATACAGGAGGGGTCTTACTGGCTTCATCCAGAGTGGGGGGCGCTCTAATACAGGAAGCGTGTTACTTGCTTCATCCAGAGTGGGGGCGCTCTAATACAGGAGGGGTGTTACTGGCTTCATCCAGAGTGGGGGCGCTCTAATACAGGAGGGGTGTTACTGGCTTCATCCAGAGCGGGGGGCGCTGTAATACAGGAGGGGTGTTACCGGCTTCATCCAGAGTGGGGGCGCTCTAATACAGGAGGGGTGTTACTGGCTTCATCCAGAGTGGGGGCGCTCTAATACAGGAGGTGTGTTACTGGCTTCATCCAGAGTAGGGGCGCTCTAATACAGGAGGGGTGTTACTGGCTTCATGCAGAGTGGGGGCGCTCTAATACAGGAGGGGTGTTACTGGCTTCATCCAGAGCGGGGGCGCTCTAATACAGGAAGCGTGTTACTTGCTTCATCCAGAGTGGGGGCGCTCTAATACAGGAGGCGTGTTACTGGCTTCATCCAGAGTGGGAGCGCTCTAATACAGGAGGGGTGTTACTGGCTTCATCCAGAGTGGGGGCGCTCTAATACAGGAGGGGTGTTACTGGCTTCATCCAGAGCGGGGGCGCTCTAATACAGGAGGGGTGTTACCGGCTTCATCCAGAGTGGGGGCGCTCTAATACAGGAGGGGTGTTACTGGCTTCATCCAGAGTGGGGGCGCTCTAATACAGGAGGTGTGTTACTGGCTTCATCCAGAGTGGGGGCGCTCTAATACAGGAGGGGTGTTACTGGCTTCATGCAGAGTGGGGGCGCTCTAATACAGGAGGGGTGTTACTGGCTTCATCCAGAGTGGGGGCACTCTAATACAGGAGGTGCGTTACCGGCTTCATCCAGAGTGGGGCGCTCTAATACAGGAGGGGTGTTACTGGATTCATCCAGAGTGGGGGCGCTCTAATACAGGAGGTGTGTTACTGGCTTCATCCAGAGCGGGGGCGCTCTAATACAGGAGGGGTGTTACCGGCTTCATCCAGAGCGGGGGCGCTCTAATACAGGAGGGGTGTTACCGGCTTCATCCAGAGTGGGGGCGCTCTAATACAGGAGGGGTGTTACCGGCTTCATCCAGAGTGGGGGCACTCTAATACAGGAGGTGTGTTACCGGCTTCATCCAGAGTGGGGCGCTCTAATACAGGAGGTGTGTTACTGGCTTCATCCAGAGTGGGGCGCTCTAATACAGGAAGGGTGTTACCAGCTTCATCCAGAGTGGGGGCGCTCTAATACAGGAGGTGCGTTACTGATGTGGTACTGAGACCACCCTTTGCCCTTTTAGGCAAGTTGTCCCTGTAAGCCGGTGCAATTAATCTTTTCACCTGCGGGTGGACTTGTGCCTTGCGTAGACCACGAGGGAATTGGTCCCTTAGAGATCCCGTACAGAGCCTTGAGAAGAAAAGTTGTCTGATTGGACGCAGAACTCTCGAGAGATTTGACCGCCATTTTGAATGAGGGAAAAGTTTAAATAGGGGAACCCACATCACTTTGGCACATCTTTTGGCGATTATTGGACAGAGACGGGAACCCACTTGTGAGGGACAGCAATGAGCATAGGGAGAAGTTCCAGATGAGAAGGGAAAGTGCAGGGAAGGCTTCCTCAACGTGACATGGAAGCTTAGATCCAATGCAGGTGGCTGGAACCGTCCTACAGTATGGCGTAAGCAACGCTTCGTCCAAGAACAGAAGCTGTCCTCTGGTGGCACATCTTCATAGATCCTGGGACTGGTTGTTTATTGAGCTGCTGTTCCAAGTGCCCAAGACACGGTACAATGGACTCCACTAGACCTCTGATGGTACCTTGTGGCACCAATCAGTAGCAGATCCTTTAAGTCCTGTAAGTTGCAAGGTGAGGACTTCATAGATCGGACTTGTTTTTCTAGCACATACCACAGATGCTCGTTTGGATTGAGATCTGGAGAATTTGGAGGTCAAGTCAACACCTCAAACTCCTTGAGTTCCTCAAACTGTTACTGAATTCATCAGACCAGGCCACCTTCCTCCATTGCTCCATGTTCCAGTTCCGATGCTCATGTGCCCATTGTAGGTGTTTTTGGCCGTGGACATGGGTCAGAAAGTACACCCTGATCAGTCTGTGACTACGTAGACCCATAGACAACGAACTGCAATGCCCTGTGCGGGAAACTTGAAGCACTGCAGCTGGCAATTACATGGTGGCTGCAAGATTGAAGCCTCTGCCTGAGCCACCAGACCAGCGTGGGATTACTCTTTTTTCAGGCTGAATTGTTTGATATGTTGGCAACTCATCTCAGTTTGCAAGCTCCCAGGATTCCACAGGTTGGCCTACTGGGTGTACTTGATAAGAGTTTTCTTTTGGTGAAGCAGCCCATGGTTCCATACTCTCTTTCTCGTGTTTGCAAGACTACTACTTTGAAGTACAACCTTTGTGGTGCAAGCTGTGGAGGTGCCTCCAGGTGGCAAAGCTTTCTGGCCCTGCTGTTCCATGTGATTGATTTCAAATGCTGTGTGGTCTTGCCTTCTGGTAAGAGGCTGTGCATGGTGTCGGTGGAGGACCTTTTCTTTTTGTGACATCTATCACCTTTTCTCGAAATGTGATATCTGGAGAACCTTACCATCGCTTTAAGGATTTTTTTTCTTTTGAGGATTCTCTTTTATTTATGTTGATATCAGATATTAAGCGCTACATTTTGTAAAGTCTTTTACCTCTGTGGTATCTGACACCAAACAGTCAGTAGCAGATCCTTTAAGTCCTGTAAGTTGCAAGGTGAGGCCTCCATGTTTTTCTAGCACATCCCACAGATGCCTGTTTGGATTGAGATCTGGAGAATTTGGAGGTCAAGTCAACACTTCAAACTCCTTGAGTTCCTCAAACCATTCCTGAATTCATCAGACCAGGCCACCTTCTTCCATTGCTCTGTGTTCCAGTTCCGATGCTCATTTAGGTGCTTTTGGCTGTGGACATGGGTCAGCAAGGACACCCTGACCAGTCTGTGGCTACATAGACAACAAACTGCAATGCCCTGTGTGTTCTGACACCTTTTTATCAGAATTAGCATCCACTTTGTCAGCAATTTGACCTACAGTAGCTTCTATTGGATCAGACTACACAGGACAGCCTTCATTCCCCAGGTGCATCAATGAGCCTTGACCACCCATGACCCTGTTGTTCTCCTTCCTTGGACCACTTTTGGTCAGCCCTGACCAC